CTTCTGGTGCTCCTGTGTCTCTGGACTGTGGACTTCACACGTGCTTCTGAGTCCTGACCCCCCTTGGGTGGGCCTAGACTGGATAGAATGCACTGGGCTGCAGTTTGGCATTTCCCTTCCTCCAGGGAAGTTAGGCGCTGAAAAACTCCGAACAGTTTAGGCTCTGATAAAATCTTGATGGCAGGCTTTGCTAAGAAGAACAGGATGCTCTGGTATATTTCAGAATGGTTACTCTTCTTCTCCACATGCTGAAAGCATGAGAGGATTCTTCTCCAAAGTCCCCAGGCCCCTGAGGGTGACACTCACAAAAATATGGGGCCTCTCTGATGACTGGGCTCACCTGGAGTTTTATTAATGCTTGGACTTACCCACACTGAGCCTCCAGTAACTTGTCAAGCACAGTTCAGGTTGTCCTCCCCCTGGAACTGGTTCCCCATAGGTTTCTGCTCCTGGGTTCCTGCTCCAGTAAGTGGTGATTCTCTGTATGTATGTGTCTGTCTCTACAGTTTTGGAGGCAGGAATTTGCCTTGCTGCCTCCCTTCTCTGATGGATCTAAGAAGGGCTGTCAATGTATCAGTTTGTTCAGCTTTTCACATAACTGTCAGGATGGAGTAATAAACTCCCAAATTCCTTACATCCTGGACCAGACACCAGAAGTCAGTAACTGACCCTTTACAAAGTTTCCCAAGTAATTTGATTGGGGAAAAGTTAGCCTTTTCAACAACTGTGTTAGTGAATCTCAATCGTTGCCTCATCTCACATGCAAAAATCAGCTCAAAATGGTTCACAGATATAAATGTAAGAGCTAAAACTTCTAGGGAAACAGTATTTGTGGCTTGCATTACATAAAGATTTTTGAACATGGAGAATACAAACTGTAAAATAAATAATTGATAAATTATTATAAACTGCATTATAATTTAAAACTTCTTTGAAAAATATGGTTAGTGAAATGAAGAAAATAAGCCACCAACTGGCAAAAATAAATAAGCAATACATAGTTGATCAAGGACCCGAGTCCAGAATATGTAAAAAATTCACATCTTAATAAGAAGAACATACAATGCAGTTTTAAATTGGGCAAAAGATTTAAACATATTTTTCATCAGTGAAGGTACACAAATGACAGGCAAGCCCTAAAAACATACTCAGCAACAACTGGTATTAGAGAAACACAAATTAAAATCACAATCAGATACTAGCACGTCTTAGAATGGCGACTGCTTTTAAAAACTGACGACGTTAAGTGCTAGAAAGGATCTGGAACACTTGGAAATCTCAAAGCTAATGGTGAGGGGGATGGAAACTGATACAAACACTTTGGACAACAGTCTGGCAGCTTATTACGAAGTTAAATTCAGACTTAACATTTGATCCAGCAATGCCACTCCTTTGTATTCACTTAAGATAAATAAAAACATATATCCACACTAACACCTGTAAAAACTTTATAGAAGTTTTGTTCATAATTTTCAAAAATTGGAAATAACCACAGAAATACTACTTAGCAGTTAAAAAAAAGCCCCAAACAGACTACTGACACATAGTTGGATATCAAAGGCATTACACTAACTGAAAGTATTCAAAAAGCCACATCTCCAGATCACTCTTTGACATAAATTGCAGCAATATTTTTTTGGATCCATCTCCTAGAGTGATGGAAATTAAAGCAAAAATAAACAAATGGGACCTAATTAAACTTAAAAGCTTTTGCACAGCAAAAGAAACCACAAACAAAATGAAAAGACACCCTACAGAATGGGAGAAAATATTTGCAAATGATGCTACTTGCAAGGGATTAATTTCCAAAATATACAAATAACTTATACAGCTTAATATCAAAAACAAACAATCCAATCCAAAAATGGGCAGAAGACCTAAACAGACATTTCTCCAAAGAAGACATATAGACAGCCAATAGGCATATGGAAAGATGCTCAATATTGCTAATTATCAGAGAAATGCAAATCAAAACCACAATGAGGTATCACCTCACACGGGTCAAAAAGATCATTATTTAAAAGCCTATAAATGATACACGCTGGAGAATGTGTGGAGAAAAGGGAACCCTCCTACATTGCTGGTGGGAATGTAGTTTGGTGCAACAATTATGGAAAACAGTATGGAGATTCCTTAAAAAACTAGAAATAGACTTACCATATGATTTAGCAATCTCACTCCCAGGCAAATATCCAGAGAAAACTCTAATTTAAAAAGAGACATGTATTCCAATGTTCATAGCAGCATTATTTATAGTAGCCAAGACACAGAAGCAACCTAAATGTCCATTGACAGATGACTGGATTAAGATGTGATATATGTGCGCGCGCGCGCGCGCGCACACACACACACACACACACACACACAATGGAATACTACTCAATCATGAAAAAGAATGAAAGCATGCCATTTGCAGCAACATAAATGGACCTAGACTTTATCATACTAAGTGAAGTAAATCAAACAGAGAAGGACAAATATCATATGATATCACTTATATGTGGAATCTGAAAAAAAAAGACACAAATGAGCTTATTTACAAAACAGAAACAGATTCACAGGCATAGAAAACAAACTTATGGTTACCAAAGGGAAAAGAGTGGGATGGGACAAATTAGGAGTTTGGGATTAAAAGATACACACTACTATATGGAAAATAAATAAACAACAAGGTCTCACTGTATAGCACAGGGAACTATGTTACATATCTTGTAATAACCTATAATGAAAAAGAATATGAAAAAGATACATTATGTTAAAAAAAAGAGCCATGGAGAAGAACTTGGGGCAGGTGGAATCATTATACATTGTGACTATGATGGTGATGATTTGACTACATACATTCATCAAAACTCTTCTAACTGTACATTCAAAACCAGTGAATTTTATTGTAGAAAGATGGTTTTACAAAGTTATAAGGGTAGAAATCAGATCGGTGTTGGCCAAAGGTCGTGATGAGGAGAAGAGGCAGCCAACTAAGGGATACAAGAGAAACTCTGAGCTGGTGGAAACGTTTTATAACTTGATTGTGGTGTTGGTTTCATGACTCTATACATTCACCGAAGCTTACCAAATGGTATATATTTAAAAGGTGAATTTTGCAGCATACAAAGTGCATCTCAGTAAACCAGACTTTCAAAAACAAATGAATGAAAAATATACAAGCAAACGAACCCTGGAACACAACAGAGAAAAATATAAAGGGGCCTGCAGGTAAAATCTTGTGACCCCCAAAATTTTATAGGCAGCAGCAGAAAAAGGCTTTCAGCAATTCAAGGACTCAGAAAATATTTAAGTAGTCTTCCTGAATGAAATACCTGAAGTCCTGTGACAGAAGAAAAGAATGCATTTCAAAAAAAAAAAAAGCCCAGAAACAGTGGTTAATGACATAACTGTTGTTCTATGTGACAGTATAAATGTGGTAACAAACAAAGACGCCACGGCTCGAAAATCGCCCTTGTGAGTCAGAGAAAGGAGAGCTCTTCCCCCGCCCCCTGTGTGTGAAAGAAAATACCTACATGAAAGGAAAGGAAAGAGTGAAGGAGACGATTATGCCATCGATGACCACAGAGAAATTCAGCTGGGACACTCTGGGAAGTAATAATATTGCATCCCTTCTCTTCCGTGAACGGGAATAAAGTTATCTTTCTGCCACTGACATGGATGTGTTTAAGAAGATTTAAAGTCAATCCTTTAAAAAAGTTAATAGATGTCATACCATATATAAGACCCTTTGGAACATATATTATTTTTATTTCCTCTTTTACATTTAATTTTTATTTTATCGAAGAGGTATTTGTGGCTTAATACAGTGAATGCAGGGTGTCCATACAGTCAAGAGGCATTTCAGTTAATTACTTTTTGCCCTGATTGAAGATATGCCTGAACCCGTGACGCGTGTTTTGTTTTCAGACTGCATGGATGCTGAGAACACACAGCAGTGGTCCCCTGCCCACCTTCTTGATTCAATTCCCGCTGCCCGAAGGCAGTGACTTCCCACTGTTTCTTCTTCATCTGTTTACCTCCGTATTTCCAGATAACATGCTTGTTTTGTCATTTCTTGATTTTTTTTAAACTTCAGATATCATTTGCTAACTTTCTTTTTTTAAATAATTTTTAGAATATTTTAATTTTATTTTTTGGTGGGGGGAGGTAGCTTGGTTTATTTATTTATTATTATTACTTTTGTAATGGAGGAACTGGGGATTGAACCCAGGACCTTGTGCATGCTAAGCACATACTCTACCACTAAGCTATACCCTCCCCCACTACCTGCTGACTTTCTAATGCGGAAGACAGGATTAAGGCCTCCCCAATGGGCACATGTGTGCGTGCATGCACGCACATACACACACACTTCACCTCCTCCACTCTGCCGTTAATAGTTATAATTATTATTCAGATCATCATAAATACAAACGATTATCCACAGCTGAACCATGCAGGTACCATAGTTACAGCTCTTTTCTGATATGACTTTTTCTTTGCCTGAAGTGAATGCTTATCTTGGTTTTTCATTGTCTTAGGCTTCCCTTTCTGCCAGCCTCGGTTTCAGCTTTCTCCATCTGGCTCAGTCCATACTCCATCTGTTTTCTAGGGTCTAAACTTCTGTTGCTGTCATACCCTCTCCTGTTTTCGGTCCACACTGCTTTATGTAATCGCATCCTTCTACTGTCTTTGGAGTGGTATTTCAGAAGGAAGCAAAAGTGAGCACGTGGGGGGCGTGTCGACCACCCCATTAAGCAGAAGCCCCGTCCGGTGTCTGAACGGACCCTGTCAGGCGGACACCTGCAGAGGGAGCAGACTAAGGGGGCTTTGTGCTCCGTGGCAAATCAGGTATCTCAATGCCTCCTCTAAACCACTGAGGTCTCACCAGCCAGGCTGTTACCCGTGATGTGTTCAGACCCTGTTTCTCTTCTAACTGGAGAAGACACCCGTTAACTTAAATATACAGCTGACTTAACGGATGTGAGAAGAACGGCGAAGGCGCGCCCACCTACCTTGACGGCGCTGAAGCAGAGCACGTGCAGCACCACAGCAGCGAAGACGCTCCGGGCCACGCTGTACACAGCCGACAGCATCCCCGAGACGGCTGGAACACAAACGCCAAGAGTTCCCTTCTACACCGGCAAGTCTCACGGTCAATAAATATTGTAAGAAGATGAAGAGAAGTTTGTAGCTTTCAAATACAAAATGCTTATCTTGTTTTTTCATCATCTTAGGCCTCCCTTCCTGCCAGCCTAGGTTTCAACTTTCTCCGTCTGGCTCAGTCCATGCTCCATCTGTTTTCTAGGGTCTAAACTTCTGTTGCTGTCATACCCTCTCCTGTTTTTGGTCCACATTGCCTTCTGCAATTGCACCCCTCTGCTGTCTTTGGAGTGGTATTTCAGAAGGAGGGGCCAGAAATGAATCTCTGGGGTAGTCAAAAAGTGCTGGGTGACCATTAGTACAAGAAAGACACTGATCTTTAACTAAAAACTCAGAGGGAACACAGTTAGAAAGAACTCTTGGTGACATTCTTAGAAGACTGTGTGAACCTGCCAGTGGGGAGGAAGGGAGTCCTTGTTGCTTGGAGTTGGAAGTTGCTGGCCCAGGAAAGATCGTGGAGAGTGATTTCAACACAGGAAAGGGAAGAGATAGTGACAGAGAAACAGACAGGGACAGAGACAGATGGACTACAGGTAGATTGATAGACAGGCAAGGCAAGCAGGCATCCGTGTGTGTGAGTGTGTGTGTGTGTGTGTACAGGAGGTGGCAGAAGTAACTGATCACCCGCCACCCTCTAGTCCTTTATGTACATCCTTGAATCCTTACATCATCAACCTTGTGAGATCAGCGTGTTAGTTTCCATTTCTAGATACTTTAAAGTGAAGCACTCTAGGTAAAGTCTCCAAGCAAGTGTCAGATGAAAGGGTACCCACCTTGGTCAGAGTCTGAGGTGTACATGGAATGAAAGGACACAGGTCACCCGACTGCACAGGCCACACCCAACATACACTCACAATGTCACATCCACACGCTCCCCACTAACTCATACGTGTGTGTGTTCAAACACACACATGCACACGCTCACATCCACCCAAACGTTCACACACACACACCCCTACACTTTTCCAAAGAAGAGCTCTAAACCTGTTCCAAAGCTCAGGGCACCCGACGCATCCTGTTTTCTGTTGAGTCTTTACTCTACCAAGAGAGGCGGACCACTTTCAATAAGGCTGAATGACTCTAGAAAAGCCCACCATTAACCCGACTGACCCAAGCAGAGGTCCTTTAAGTGCTCAGGAGAAAGAAAGGCTAACGCTTCTGGCTCTCATCCCTTGCCTGAGGCTACTTAGCCCTTCCTTGTCTGAATTTCAGACTTTTTTTTACAGGAAGAGGAGAATGCAAACAACTTACCAGAACCTCCAAAAAACAACATGTCGATTTGCTCCAAGAGATAAATGCAGAAAGTGTTGATTTGTGGGAAGAGTCCAAGGAGTGAAATGGCAGGGAAGCAATATAAAAATACTGAAATTGAACAGATGAAATTGACGGTAAGCATGCAGAGAACACTGGCCGAGGTTCCCACTGCAACCCCACCTCCCTCCCCTTTCAGCCACGCCACCCCGCCCAGCTCCAGGGTGGCAATGCTGCCTCCTTTCACCCACCCACCAGAGGAGGGTCCAACTGAGCCAAGCACATGCCTGTGGAAGTCACAAGGAGGTGCTACTGAGGAAGAAGTATACAGGTAGACCCGGGACTGAGCAGACACCTGGGGAGGGTGAGGTGAGAGTATGAAACGGAGCAGGACCCTGTGGGGTCCTCCCTGGTACAAAGTCTTTCCGGGTCCTCCATTTCTTGTTAGTAGGATGTAGGCTTCGCTTAGCCTCCTTGACCTTCCCTGAGTCCCAAAAGGCAGGTTCAAACAATTGCTAATCAGGGAAGGGAGGGGAGGCAGAGACAGGGGAGGAAAAGTCAAGAAATGACAGTGTATCCTTGGAGCAGGGTCCTCGTCCCTCCTCAAGGAATATATCTAACAGTAATTCTGAGTTCTTCTGCAGGAACTAAGGCCCCGCCCAGGAGGAGGATGGTAACTTCAGGCTGACCACAGATTCCTGGAACACCGCCCTGGTACTTCCCCACCAACCAATCATAAGGAAGTCACACACCGTGCAGCCCCCAACCCAGATTTTGCCTATTAGAACTTCTCCCTGAAGCTCCAAATTTGCACCTCTTGGGGAGTGATGGGAATGCTAACTATCTTGATTGTGGTGGTGGTTTCATAGGTGTACACATCTATCAAAATTCATCAAATTGTGCATCTGAAATATGTGTAGTTTACTGTACAGGAATTATACCACAATAAAAGTGTTTTAAAAAAATTTAAAACATATATGGCAAAATGTTAACCTTTGAAACCTATGTGGTACATTGGACTGTATTATGATTTTCAATAATTTTGGTATGTTTGAAATGTGATTTCTAAGAAATAACTATAAAAACAAATGATATACATCCAAAATAAATAAATAAATACATATAAGCAGGAAGGAAAAAAGAAACTTCTCCCTGAAAACTCTCAGAGTTTGGGTTTTTCAAGCATGAGCCACCCTTCCTCCTTGCTTGGCCCTGCAATAAACCTTTCTTTGCTCCAGACTCTGATGTTTCGGTTTGTCTGGCCTCACTGTGCATCAGGCACATGAACTTATGCTTGGTAACAAGTAGACCGGATTTCAGTTTGCAAGGACAGACTTGAATTTAGGGGAGATGAGGTGGGAGGAAAAGGACCAGGCAAACTACAGGAACACGCAAAACCCAAGGGACAGTACATAGAAGGATCTCTCCTGCAAGGCTCCTCACTTAAGCACCTGAGTTGCTAAAAGTCTGTTACATTTTCAACACCCACTGGAGACTCTGAGTTCAGTCAGAACTCCAGACCCACAGAGGAGCAAGGGAGAGCAAGTGATTAACTAAGAAACTCCACAACCATGATGGTGCAACCCTAAAGGGCTTGACTGGCAGGTGGAGAAGGTCACCTGGGAGGTGAAGGTGGCCCTGCCTGAGGAGGGGAAGATGGTACCAACTCCCCAAACCATAATCACGCAATTGGATGAAACATTCACGTGTCATAATTCAATGCTTCGCAGAGATCATTTGTTCGGGGAAACAAAATGTAGGAGAGCTGCATTTTCCAGCAACTTCCTGATCACCATCTCATTCCCAGTTCTATTTAAGTTGGGTTTCATGGAAACACAGAGATTCCCATCAGGGGTGCGATCATACATCTGTCTTCCTTTCCATCTCAGTTTATTGAGTAGAATATCAATGAAGTTGGATGCTGGGAAACCTTAATACAATGAAGGAGATTTGATTTGAAATCCAATCCACCTAAACGTGGAACTATGACCAGACACTACACAAAACTGCAGTGAACCATACGAGTGGGGAGGATGGGGGACCGTGTTTTCAACTATTTCTGGCAAATCAGAAATGCAAACTTTCCACAGTGAAATTGTAGGAATGAGAGTATGTGTGTGTCCCCTTCTCTGGCTAATAGTAGGTTAACCCCACTGCAACAATATGGGACAGACTTGACCACAATGCTACCAAGAAACTGTTCCCACAATTTGTGAAAGTAACATTTTTAACTTATGAACATAGTTATGAAAAAAGGGGCTTTGCTTGGGATTGGGGCCATATTTTGACATGGTGATTTTGCTACAAGGGTTTCTGTGGCAGGATTTTAACTATGTTGTGAAAACCTAGAGCATCTGTGAGTAATACCTTTCTCAACCAGAGCAAGGCAACAAGACACAAATGCGGATCTGCTAGTCATAACTGGGTAAGACAACGTCTCTTTTCAAATTTTGATATGAAAGGGGAGATATTAAGAATAAACAGAAACTTACTAGCTGGACATATAGTTTGAGCATCAAGATTTGAATTCATATAATTTCAAGCAAACAGATTAGTTTCTCTTTTCTTAACCTTGGGACTCAGAACCCAGAAATGGAGGTGATATGGTACTACGCTGTACTCGTCACAGCCAGGATAGGGGCAGAGGGAAGGTGCAGTTTCATGAGCTCACCTTCTTCAGTGCTGTGTGCGACAAAACCTATGCAGAGGATGAAGAACTACAGGGAAAACTACAGAGTCAGAAATAATATTAATAATGGTGGTCAGATACTGGAAATGTTCAGCAGAACATGGGTAAAAAAGTATTCTTTACAAGGAATACATTAGGCAAGAAAACCAAAACTAATAAAGAGGAAAGAATCGGAACAGGATGATCGATGGCATGGAGAAAATAAAACGGTACAAGACACCAGGAAGTTCTAACTGAAGATGCTCAGCCGTGTGTGCAGACTGGGAACTGCGTGAGACCCGAGAAGAAGGACAGCCGTCAGTGCGGCGGGGGAGGGTGCCAGGATCCAGGCTGTCCCCAGGGTGTAGGAGAGGAGGGAGTCTCTAGTCTTTACAGTTAGAGCCGTGCAGGTAAAACTAAGGGGAGAGGGAGACCACAGATCACACATCCTTCTGGGTGCAGTTCACGTGAATAAAAAAGCAGCCCAAAGCTGCTGGACGACTGGACACTTACACTTGAAGTTGCTGGAATGATTTCATCCCTTTTTTTTCCACCCAAAAGTAAACAGTTAAAAAAAAAAAACCGTCTCTGTGGTTGTTGGCAATTTTCCCTGTGCACAAAGATTTTTTTTCCTTAATGTCCTGCGAGAGGACCTATAATTTTCTCTCACTTCTCTACTCTCATTTTCCCTAATAATTACCATAGCATGGGGAAACTCCTGGTAAAGTTCCATTCCTTTTCAGCACAATTTATAAATAGAAATATTGTAACTTGCCTATCTCTTCTGTTAAATGTGAATAATAATAATATTCATGACTGTATTGAGGATGCAGACAAAGGTGGGTTCGGGTGGTGGGCTGAGTGTAAGGGGAGTGAATAGTTTGATATCAAAACAGTAGCAAAAGGGATGGGAGAGTCAGAGGGTGTAATCTCTCCTACGGTTTTCACGTCACATCTGGGGGTCCTCCTGAGTCCCACTGGAGAGACTCAGGCAGTTGTCATGGGGTCGGAGAATGATGATACACGACCCATGGCTTTGACATTCTCCTCCTGAGTAAAATTTCTAGCTGGCAAGGCACAGATCCGGGGGTTGGTGTCTTTAGTGGCTGTCCTTTATCAACTCCTCCGGTCAATGTGCTCATGAAGAATCAGAAGCAAGCAGGTCTGTAGACCTCTGGATGTCATCACAAGAATTCTCAAAGCACTGGCAGTCAAGTCTTCAGAGCTGCGGGCCAGTAACGGGACAGGCTCTTTGCGTAATAAAGGTATTAATAGCTAATACCTGATGCCAGGCACTGTTCTATATGTTTAAAGATAACTAAGTTATCCAACACTTGCAACAACCTCTGAAGTGTGTACTATTCCTGTCCTTGTATTACAGATGGATTTTGCTCAAGGTCACACAACTAGGAGAGAAACAGAGCTGGAATTCAAACAGCCAGCCCTCTGGCTCCAGAGCGGGGTTCCAAATGCTGATAATATGAAGGTCACTTGTGCAAAGGGGGCATTTTACATCAGACGCTGCCTAGACCTTAAGGCAAGTCAAGTGCACCAGTGGAAGGCTGGGTGGCCAGCATTCCAGGACTCCATCTGGACTGAGAACCACATCTAGTCAAGCATTACCAGAGCATCTGTGCCATGCGGATGGGGCCTGATGGCCCCCACCCTGGGGAGCCCCACTGACACCCCACACCAGGCCTCACAGCAGCCAGTCTCTGGATACTATGGTGCTGCAACTTCTTACTCGTGGATATCAAAATCCTTTAGAATAATTCTGTTGTCCGATGCTTTAGGGCTCTGGTTCCCAGATAACCCTTTGAAAGCATGCAAGCCAAGAGGAAAATGCACATTTCTTTACCTAATAATCAAGCAAAGAAGTTTCTCCAATGAGGGATTCAGAAAGTAAAGGGGAGACATAAATCCCTCCTTTATAACCTTCCCCACAATACCCAAGTGCACTCACCTATTAAAAGGTCCCTAGCTGACCGGAGCATCTCTGGAGAGAAGAGCTTCAGGCCATAGACAATATAAGTGGGAGGGTGCCTGGCTTTGGCCCCTGCATCAAGGAGCAAAATAAGGCCACACAGCATACAAAAATAGACTGGTCTGCTATACGTTATGATTTGGTTGTGTCCCTAGAAAACAAACACAAGTTCTGAATGGTACCTTTTATTTTGATGAAATGACAAAAGCCTCACCGTCAATCATTTACACCACATCATACAACTTACACCATATAACACATTCTCCCCTCTACCATAATTCATACACAAAAAACACCAAGGGAAAAAAAACCCTAATGCATGTTCTGTCAAATAAGAATGAGAACATCAGAAAAGAATGCCATGCCCCTCAGACTCCACAAGATTTACCTGAAAATTTAATTACCATCCTTGGGTAAAATCTAGATCTAATTCAATGCTCCCCCAACAGTGAAACTTCCATTTGTACTGTTCAAGTGCAAAACTAATTTACACTACTGTGTGCTCTACATGGTCTAACTTGAGCTCCATTATTAACAAGAAATAGAATTATAAGTTGTAGGCTTCAATTTATTTATGTCTTAAGAAGCAAGACAAGGCAGGTGCAAAGCTATACCTGCAGAGGTTTGCACAAAATGTCTTCGTGTAGCGCAGTAGAATAATCCAATTTTTAAAAATCTGCTATTTAGACATACTTTCCTCTGAGGAGGACCAAAAACTGAACAGATTTCATCTTAGCCCTCAAAATATTGTTATAAGGAGAGCAGAAACATCTTTTATTCTTCTTCTGGAATGGATAAAAAAATTAAAGAAAAGCTATAACATCAACTTCCCAGGGCAAAAGCCAATGAAGAATTTACATCTCCCAAATCAATGCACAGTTCATAAGGTTCAAAAAAACAACCAAAATGAATTAGGGAGAGAATAGTCTTTGCAATTCATGAACCACTTTGAGCCTAAGAAGTAGAGATTCAAGGGATATGTTTTTGGATGTGAATTTTTAAAGTCACTGCCTTGAACACGTTATATTTAGAAATGCAATTTAAATTGCCGCTGCTCCTATAATAGAAATAGTCCTATTCTGAGACCATCTTTTAATAGGAAGGAAAACACAGGCTGTCCATAGGGGCTGGTTATGTTTGGCCCTGAGTCCAGACTCGGTCTTAAAGGAATATCTCCACGCATGAAATTTCCTTTTGAATCCAACTAGGTCATAGATTAATGGGTAAGGGAATACTTTCTCCGCATTAAAAAAAAAAAACTGAAACTAAAGCCGAAGTGAAATCTTAATGCATTTCTTATCGAGTGAATAGCAAAATAAGTGAGTTGGTATAGACAGCCATTTAGTATACAAATACCCAAGCATAGGAGACATTTCCTCAAACTGATACCATGTAGGAAATATCATTAAATAGCTACCTGCCCTGGTTCTTTCTTTAACTAAAAGATTTAAAATATTTTTCCAGGAATTGAAAGTCTTGAGCAAATTTAAGATATCATCTTGGATCTGCCATGTCAAGCCTTGTTTATTGGGAAGGGGAATTCTTTCCCCTTTTTTTTTTTTTGTAATTTATGAGACAAACCTTGAGGCTCCCTTAGGAAGAGCCTGCCCCCACCACTATGTTTATGCTTCACCACAATTCCCATACTATATTATGGAACCCCAAACCATTCTAAGCAGAGCACTAAGACATGGAATATAAGTCATTTTTATGTGCCTTGATTCCTAAGAACACCCACTAGTAAAATTTCCCTCCTCTCCAGTTCTTCTCTTGCCTGTGAATTAATCATGAAAAGCCCCAAGGGTTGATTTTTTTTTCAATGGAAAAATTTCACTCACTCCCTCAGGTGAAGTCTGATCACAGCCTTTTTAAATGTGTCCAAGTATTTCCCATCTGTTTCTGAATTTTCAAATACCCTAGGGGGGCATCGCGGATGTCCACCATGGGGCTTCCTGGAGCCGCAAAAGCTGGTCCACTTATGCATCTGGTTTCCCAGCAGCCCGACCTAACAATACAGTCTCACAGCCCAGGCTCTGGTGGCAGGGCAGGTGAAGAGGAGAGAAGGTGTCAAAACCTCCAGCTCCCCACCGGGAGACCAGCGATGCTTGTGGCTAAGGAACCAGGCCATTCTAACTGTTCTCTTTCCAGGAGAGTGGGCTGGTCAGATGCTTCAAACTTACTGTTGTTAAATAAACAAACAAATAAAAGGGTTTTATTATAAGGAAGATGGGGTGTCTGAGGAATTTGTAGAGGGCCCAGGGGCTGGAGTGCATCTGGCCTTTGAGGCTGCAGCAGCTGGGCCACGCCACCCCCCAACCCATCTCCGCCATGACACGTGTCAGCTCCAGGCTTCCTGCAGACCTGAATTCTCTGCTTCACCCTGACCGAGTCTGCACCTGTCCAGTCTAGCCACGTTCAGAGGTCAGCTGTTTTTGACAAGCTGATGTAAAACAGCCACAACAGCAATACATATCCAGCCTTCCCTGTGCCCCAGGCTCCAGTCTTTCTCCTTTCAATGTATCTACCTGGCTGGTCCAGCCTTCCCTGTGCCCCAGGCACCGGCCTTTCTCCTTTAAACGTATCCATATCGTTAATCCACTCTAAGAAGCCCTGCTATTACTCTCATTTTGCCAAACTGAGGAATAAAGAGTAAAAAATTTGCCCCCAGGCTTCACAGACAAAACAGGGTGGCAGAGCAAGGATTTGGACCTCGCCACTGGCCACCTGGCCACCTGGCCACTACCCACTGCCTTCCCCAAAGCAGTCCAGAAGGTGACTGCATTCGGCACTGGGTCCTTTCCAGACCCAAGCACTCAATCTCACTTGGCTAAAGTTCATTCATAGTCATCATTCTTTAAACGCATGATGTGAATGTTACTCATGTGAAGCAAAGAGTGTGGGGAAAAGCATTAGTAACAGCTTCTTCTGAAAAGTGTGGGCTTTTCCTGAAAGGACTCCAGAGGGTGAAAAGGGCTCCTACCTGGCGAAGGTGCAGAAAAATAACCACATGTTCTGTCCATCGCATCTGTGACTTTATGTTTACCTACAAGGGACTCTCTTCATTATAATATAGCACAGGAAACTACATTCAATACCTTGTAATAAACTATAGTGGAAAAGAACATGAGAAGGATTTTGTATACATAACTGAATCACTATGCCGTACACTGGAAATCAACACAACAGTGTAAACTGACTATACTTCAATTTTTTTTTAAAGGCAATTTGGAATGGCTTATGCTTTAAAGAATACTTTCTTTGAGCAAAGTAAATCCACGATTAAATAGAAAATAGATACTATTTAACTTTTAATCAAGATCCATTACCTATAGTGACCTTATTTCTAGGATTGAAGATTGAGAAATTATGTTCTGTCATTTAACATCATTCCTCTGCAAAACACGACCTTAACCAGGTGATGAAGGTCAGTGTCGAAAGTGGTGATGTGATGTGATGTGATGAAAATGTGGTCCTCTTCCCCCAAAATCCATAACCCCAGTCGAATCTCCAGATGAGCACCAGATAAATCCCAACTGCGGGATGGTCTACAAAACCCCTGACCAATAGGCTTCAAAACTACCCAGGTCACCGAAAACAAGGAAAAGTCAGAGAAACTGTCACAGCCCAGAGGAGCCTTAGGAGACAGAATGACTAACTGTAATGTGGTAACCTAGATCGGATCCTCAAACAAACGAAAAGGATATCGGGTAAAAGCTAAGGGAATCTGAGTGAAGCACGGACTTTAGTTAATGCTAACGTATCAATGTTGGTTCAGTAATTGCGGCAAACACAGCCTACCAATGTGTGTTTATGAAAACTGTACAGTCAGCCCTCCGTGTCCCCAGAGCAGAAGGAGAAAGGGAGGGGGACGTTTACAGAGGGCTCGGCACACTCCAGGTCCTGCACTGGGCACATTGTCTATATTGTCCAACTCACTCATCCCCTAATCCAGCTGAGATTGTCAATATTCTCCATCTACTCACACAAAAACTGCTAACGTCAGCTGTCAAGGGCTCCCGCGGCACCAATCTCTGCTGAGCACGAGATGTGGCTCATCCTGTTTCGTTCCCTTCCAAACCTGTTTTGGTCTTTCCTCTCTTACAGGTAAAAAACCTGAGATTCAGAGAAGTAACCTGACCAAGGGGACCACAGTTTGTATATGGCAAGGCTGGATCCTAATTCTGAAACCTGCACACATCCAGTGACCCCAGTGTTCCCCAAGTGTGATCTGAGATCACCTCCAGCATCAGCACCTGGGGGAGGGGGGCTTAAATGCAGGTTCCCAGGTGCTGCCCCAGCCGCCCAACTCAGAATGCCTGCAGGTCCTGGGAAAGGCCCCTGACTCTGGCTCTGTGTAATGATACCATTTGATGGCTGCCTCTCTTATACCTACTGGATTCCGCTTTCTGGGTTATCATTAGTGGATACTACTGGTTATTATCTGTGTAAGCCAAGCCTCGTCACCCATCTCTAAACTGCCAGCCTCTGACCCTCAGATCATGTCCAGTATCCACCCCAACCCTCAATTTTTCAAGCCCTCCTAGACCCGTTTTCTTTTACAATCAGATGCATTTCTTTCAGGTCTGGAATTGGGTGTACCATATCAATTAGCATGCCATTATTAATTCTGCAACTAGATCTAAAAAAAAAATGTCATTTGACTATCTTCTGGCTTTAACAGTTTGCTCAAAATTTGTCACCTCTGTGCTCCTGGAAGGAAACAAAGAGCAAAAATCAGCCAATCACTCTAAGAGCAAGAGTTGACTGCATTTACTAACAGCCTCTCCCTGTGAGTGAACGAAGTGATGTAGTTTTGAAAAGCACTTCAGTTCATGTGGCAGCCCCTGCTGCATGAGTCTGAGCCGGGCTGCAGACAGTGCGGGCTTGGGAACCGTCCTCTCCACCGCACGGGGTTCCTGCTCTGACCATTTCCTTTCTTTCTGAGGTTTTCTCATCTGTAAACTGTCGACAGTAAATCAGCCTTCTAAACGCCTCCACGGCTCCGTCCCACGCAAGAGAAGATATTTTATAGCTGCCGTATTTTCTTTCCTCACCAGAGCAGTTAAGAGAAACACCAACGCAAATCAGGGACTAATCTACTTAGAAATCTGTGTAAGCAAATTAATTACTGTAATAAACATAGTTAGATGTCTGACTGTGGCTTCCTGGGACAGTACGGGAAGTCATTTCTTACTGTCTCACTGTGACATGCTTGTTCAGATAAAGGAATAGCAGCTGGATTTAGTCCTCCAGGAACTGGATCAATAGACACAATATGACTCCAGCTTAGAGCAGGGACACAGGGATCCTGCAAACAGTCGTTACAAATCCACGGGGATTCCTCAGCTGCACTCACCACCCACCTCCACTAGCCTGTTCTGCATTATTCCTGAAAGTACACACAGGAAATGAAGGTGTCCTAGCATATAACAGGTCACCCCCCAGGTCACCCAGAAAGACAGTGACACAGTGCCCTCACCAGGAAGGGGGGCTTATTTACTGAGCCAACAGGACAGCAGTGTCGCGTCTAGGGTGGGCTGGAACGAACCATCTCTGCTCGCGCTACCTGACCCAGATTCCCAATGATAATCACAACAATCCATCCGTGATACCCCTAACTGTGCTGTTTCTACTTAGCTGTGACATTCAGGCTCGGGGATGAAAGCAGATGTATTATATGCAAACCAATTATGGGCAACAGAGGAATTTAACAAGACAGCAACGCATGCCAGGTGATCTTCCAATTATAAGATTTTCTTAATTACTATGAGCTGAGCATGAGTGATTACAGATTTAAGCAATCCTAAATTCTGGCTAGGAAATTTTTTTTAAAGCATCCTAGAGGAGGGGGAGGGTATAGCTCAGTGGTAGAATGCATGCTTAGCATGCACAAGGTCCTGGGTTCAAACCCTAGCACCTCTATTAAAAAAATTAATAAACAGATAAATAAGTAAACCTAATTGCCTCCCTCCCCCGCCAGTCAAAGTCAAAGCTAAAAAAAAAAAAGAATGATGTAGCAATTTATTTGGGAGTGAGTTAATAGTGGTGGAGCGAGTACATACATGCACAAGATCCTGGGTTCAATCCCCAGTACCTCTGCTAAAAAGAAGTAATAATAAAAATAAAGAATGCATATAAAAGCACAATAGAGGAAAGATCAAGCTTTCTTTCATTGGAAGGATTTTGGGGGGCCCACAGGGACTCGCTGTAACAGAAGCAAAAAGATTTCTCAAAGGGCTGGGGAGTCCACCTGCAATGGCTTTGGTGCAAAGGCAAGTGGCCAGGGTACCGGCAGGGACGACACCAGACCTTGACCTAAGGCACCTGCCAGGGAGGATGCAGCTGGGTCAGTAGAAGCCACATGTGCTGCAGAGCTCACGGAAGAGCCAGAGCACCTGCAGATCAGTGCTGGGGAGCCCGGAGTCTCAGTTATAACTGAGCCCCAAATTATGAAATAAAAGGAAGCAGTACACCTGAAAATATGGAACAGGAATAGATCAGCTTTGGGTGAAAAGAATAATAATTCACGCTGATGTGACTGATGTCTCCAATCACAATGGCCACCATCTATTAGGCAATCTCTATATGCCAGGCACTGTTTTAAGCCCATGACTTCGATTAGTTAATCCCCAATAGGCATTTTTATTATCCTTACTGACACAGAGGGAAATCGGGGCTTACGGAGCACACATCTCGCTCAGGGTCCAACATTCAAACACAGGAGCCAGGAAACCAGCACAGGCAGTCCGACTGCAGGCCCTGCCGTTTTCCCTGCCAGGCAGCGTGGTCTTTCCTGATGCCAAGTCCAGTGGGACAGAAAAGCCCCCACCCCTTTTCCCTGCCACCACCCACACCATGCTTTCAGACCTAGCCTGAACTTGGCCACCATGCATTAATACTCCTAGTGAATATTTCTACTTATATATCCAATAGACAGACAGACGGACAGACAGACAGATAGACAGATAGATAGATAGATAGATAGATAGATAGATAGATAGATAGATAGATAGACAGACAGACAGACAGACAGACAGATAGATAGACAGATAGATATGTTGCCTTTGGAATGGATTTTGGCCATTCCCTGATCTTCGACACAAAGCAGACAAGCTACTTGCCTGTTACTGGAAACTTACATGTATGGGGGAGGCAGGGTCGGGCTGAACACTCTAGAACACAAATCAGAAATGTCTGTGTCATCATCTCATGATTTCAAGGCTACATTAGTGAAGGTAAGAATTAGATGTGGTCTTGCCTTTAACAGGGAATACTGGCAGCTGGCCATGACAAGGCAGAAGAGGAGGACCCATATGTCTTTGCAAAAGCCTTGGTTCAATGTCAGAAATCCCAGCAGGGAAACCAGGACGATGAGTAGAACCGCCAGCACGTTTTCCTTGACGTCTTCAGTTCTGTGCAAAGTAAACAGATGAAAACAGAGGGGATGAAAGGTAAGCCTGTCTGTTTCCAAACAGAGAATACAGGCATGCTTCTAAACAGACAGACAGCAAGAGAGTACATCTTTATATTTAGTAGCAAGATTTTAAGTTTCTTTCTTCCTTCTTCCTTCCTTTTTCTTTCTTCCTTTCTTTATTTTTTTCTTTCTCTTTCTCTTTCTCCCTTCCTTCCTTCTTTCCTTCCTTTCCTTCCTTCCTTTTCTTTCTTTCCTTATGCCTGCATTTTATAAACAAAATCCATACTTTAACCCCAGATCTCTGTTACTGAAACAAATGAAATATAATCCCGTTGGTTCTCCTTGGCCACTCAGCTGGGTTTACTGAGAGAAGACTGTGAACCATGCCATCCACAAGAGTGAAATGTGTTCAGAGTCACAGCTTCACTGACTCCTTTAAATGGCGGAAGGAGATGCCTTAACACCTGGCTATAGCAGGCAATCCTTTCCAGATACAATCTCCGTGGCCGGAATTTGCTGCTCAGTGTTAGAAGCCAGGAGAGCTCCAGTCAGATAGCTGACAGTGCAGAGGTCTGACTGCAGTGTGTCATGACCACAGCCTCACTGGGTGGTTCTCTCCAAGGGGCACCACATGAGAGATGTGGGGCAGAGAAGTGAGCTCATCCTGGGGTGACATCCTCATAGTATCTCTTCATACTCCCAGACAGAAGTTACTAGGTTCCTGAGAAAGTGACATGGCTGGAGAATTGGAAAGGATGTGTGACTTAAAAAAACTTTTGTTTTGTTTTGTTTTGTTTTGAGGGGGAAGTAATTAGATTTATTATGGGTGTGCACAAGGACAAGAAAGGGAGTTTTAAGATGCTGATACAAAGGGGCTGAAGGCTGGATCCTGGGGGAGGTAACGAGGACCACTAGCAAGAGAGCACAGATGCATCAAAGTGCGAGAGAGGATATGGGAACACTGGAGGGAGTTAGAAAGGCTACAAAAGCTGAGTTGAGGCTGGGATTATGACTTCAGAGGTGGGAGACTTCTATGGGAGGACAAGATGCAGGGTGGGGTTATGGGCAGGAGTAGCTGAAATGAAGTAAGGGAGGAAGGCGCGGACTACAAGGTCGAGAGTTAGATGGGTCATTCGCAAGAATTCTGAGTTGATTTCTTACCTCACCAATTTTTGTTTATGTGCATATCGGTCTTTCCAATTAAATTATGATCATTTTAAGACAGGGACAATTGGCTACTTCATCCCTGGCATGTGCAGGCACTCCTAAACATTTTTTTTAAATTAATAGACTTTATTTTTTAGAGCAGTTTGAAATTCACAACAAAAATCGAGGGGAAAGTGCAAAGACTTCCCACAGAGCTCCTCTTCCCAAACACACACCCTCTTCCCCACCATCAACATCCCCCGACTAGAGTGATACATTCATTGTCAGTGATGAACCAACACTGGCAAATCATTATCAACTGAAGTCCATAGTCTGCATTATGCCTCATTCTTGGTGTTGAACAGTCCACAGGTTTTAGACAATGGTATGTATCCATCATTACAGTAGCACAGTACTTTCACTGCCCTAAACATTCTCTGTGCTCTGCCCATTCATCCCTCCCTTCTCTCTGACCCCTGGACACCACTGATCTTTTTACTGACTCCATAGTTTTCCCTTTTCCAGAGTCCATAGTTGGAATCTACAGTATGCAGCCATTTCAGATTAGCATCTTTCACTCAGTAATACACATTTAAGTTTCTTCCACATCTTTGCATGGTTTGATACTTCTTTTCTTTTTACTGCTAAACAATATTGCACTGTACGGATGGACCAGTTTGTTTATCCACTCACTTATCAAAAGACATCTTGGTTGCTTCCAAATTTTGGCAATTATGAATAGACCATCTATAAACATTTGTGTGAACATAAGGAGCATGTTTATTGGATCAAATGGTACTAGTATGTTTAGTTTGTAAGAAACTGCCAAGCTGTCTTCCAAAATGGCTATACCATCTTGCATTCGCACCAGCAATGAAATGAGAGTTCCTGTTGCTCCACATCCTTGCCAGCATTTGGTGGTGTCAGCGTTTTGGATTTGGCCATTCTAATAGGTGTGTAGTGGCATCTCATTATTGTTTTAATTCATAATTCCCTAATGATGTCTGATGTGGATCATTTTTCCACGTGTTTATCTGCCACTTATGTATCTTCTTTGGTGAGGTATCTGTCCAGACCTTTTGTCCAGCTTTTAATCAGGCAATCAAGACATACAGAATCAAGAAGTATAGAAATGGAAAGGACTCAGATATTATGATGCTTATGTTGCAAATTTTTAAAAAAATGTTTGGGGTGAACGAAATATATTTGATGAAAAGGGAAATGTATGTGTTTTTTATTTTCTACTCTGCACTTTTTATAGAACTGAATACATTTCTTAGTTCAGGTCCATAAAATACAGTATGCATTCTTTAATGTGTTCATAATATTTTGATGTATCTATTTAAAACTATCTAAAGACTTAGGAAATAAAGTGAAACTAAAATTTCCATTGAAAATATATGTATAACTATGCTGTACACCAGAAACTAACACAATATTGTCAATCAACTATACTCCAATTTAAAAAATTTTTTTTAACTTTTTTCTATTTAGGGGAAAATAATAAGGTTCCTAAAAAGAGTTTGGGATTAATAGATACACATTACTATATATGAAACAGATAAACAATAAGGTCCTACTGTATAGCACAGGGAACTATATTCAATTGCTTGTAATGAGCTGTAATGGAAAAGAATCTGAAAAAATATTTTTAAACAAAGTTCCTAAAAAGTATTTGTTCCCAGATTTTTCTCCAGCAGGACTCTATCCCTTTGTCCCTAGCCTCCCCACCTCCGCTTCCTTCCCACAGTTCCTCATGTATCTATATTTAACTAATGAGTTAAGAAGTTTGCTCACTGGGCAAGGAGTGTCATAATTGAGGCTGCTCTTTAGAAAGATTTATCTTGCGGAGGTTAACAAGATTCACTGAAGGGGAACAGATAAACAATACTCCCAGAGAGAAGTAACGAGGTCCTGGGAAAGTGACATGGCTGTAGAAATGTGACTTTAAAAAAAAAAATTTAATTGAAGTATCATTGATTTACAATGCTGTGTTAGTTTCAGGTGTACAGCAAAGTGATTCAGTTCTACACACACACATATATATATAAAGCTATTCTTTTTCCGATTTTTTTCCATTATAAGTTATTACAAGATACTGAATATAGTTCCCTGTGCTATAGTAGGTCCTTGTTGTTTATCTATTTTATATATAGTAGTTGGTATCTGTTAATCCCAAATGCCTAATTTACACCCCCCTTTCCCCTTTGGTAACCATAAGTTTGTTTTCTATGTCTGTGAGTCTGCTTCTGTTTTGTAAATAAGTTCCTTTGCATCATTTTTTAAAATTCCACATGTAAGTGATACCATACAATATTGGTCTTTCTCTTTCTGACTTACTTCACTTAGTGAGATCATCTGAGGTCCATCCACGTTGCTGCAAGTGGCATCATTTTATTGGAAAGGACAGGTGACTTTAAGACACAGTTCAATATATAAAATTGATTAACAGCAAGGGCTACTGTACAGCACAGAGAACTATATTCACTATCTTGTAGTAAGCTATAATGAAAACAAATATATGTATGTATATGTATGACTGAAACATTATGCTGTACACCAGAAACTGACATAATATGTTAAACTGACTATACGTCAATAAAAAAAAATTTTTTTAATAAGAAGACACAATAGAGAGTGAGGCAGAAAAAAAACCTTGTGATTGAATGGATTCTGTACAGCAAAAGACTGGTTGAAAAAAATGAAGATGGTCCAAGATTTCCATCTTGGGGAAAAGGATTATAATGGCAGAAATTGGGAAGGGGAGCTGGTTTGGTAAGGGAACGGGATTTATCTGTTCACAAAACAGAAGTGCTCAGCGCTGCTCTGGGTGCTGGGGATACATCGGTGGAGGAAACTCATGGAGCTTCCTTTCTAGGGGGCAGTGATGTAAAACAAGTAATACAAACACACAATAAGTATATAGTGTTTGAAGATGATGAGTGCAATAGAAAGATGAAGAGAGCAAGTCAGGAGGGATTATGAGTGTGTGGACAGGGAGCTGATGTCCTTTTAAACAGGAAGGTCAGGCTAAGCCTCACCAAGAAAAGACACTTGAAAGACGAAGGAGTTGGTCGTGCAGGTATTGGAGGGGAGAGAGCTCCGGGCAGAGGCAACAGTTTTAAGGCTGGAAAAGTGCCCAGTGTGGTGAAGAACAGAAGGGCCAGCCTCACTCTGCTGTGTTAAGAATAGTGCATAGGTGGCAGGGGTGGAGCGGGGGTAGTATAGCTCAGTGATAGAGCACATGCTTAGCATGCACGAGGTCCTGGGTTCAATCCTCAGTGCCTCCAATAAAAATAAATAAATAAATAAACTGAATTACCTCCCCTCCTCAAAACTAAAAAATAATCATTAAAAAAAATGTTTTAAGAGTAGCACACAGAGACAATGGGTGTGTGCAGGAGATGCCACCGCAGTAGCCCAGATGGGAGATGAAAGTAACTCTGACCAGGGTGGTAGCACTGAAGGTGGAAGCTGCCGCAGACGCATTTGAAGCAGCCGTACACATCCTTCCCTGTGAGAACTGAACGTGCGTGTGACAGGAAAGAAGACTTGAGGATAACTCCAAGATGCTCAACCCAAGAAGCTGGCAGGGTAGGGCTGTCATCAGTGGAGACGGGGCGAAGGACAGGTGGAGCAGATTCAGGGTGAGAAAGTTTTTAGTGTCTCGATTTGACAATAGCTACTTTGACTTCCCTAATTTTAATTTTTTTAAAATTTCTTTTCTGGGTTCTGGGCTATATTCCAGGTAATAATAATAACAATAGCAACTAATATTTAAAGAACTCTTTCGATGGCTAAGTTGGGTTAATCCTCACAGCCTCCCTGTGGTATAGATTATCCCCATCTGACAGGACACTGAGGCACAGAGAGTTTCTGTAGCCATCCTAAGATCACAGCACTAGTAACAGTGGGACTGGATTTGATCACCACAGGGTTCTCCGGGGCCCAGGGGCTCCCCACACCAGCTAAGGAATCCATGGATAATGGAGGCGGTGGCATCTCCACTCAGGTCATCCCTGAGCACAAAATTTAAACCCCATCATAACTTGCAAGAGAAGTGATTAAAACTATAACACTACAAACGTTTCAAAACTGTTATCATCTTCAGCACCCTTTTGTAGACCTCAATTGGACTTTTTCATCACCAAGTGGATGTTAAAATAACAAGCCTAGGAACCTACAGAAATACGTGGTTTTAGTGTGAAGGGTTAATACAAGCTAGTTCAACGTTCAATCATTTCTTTTCACCAGACTATTTCAAAAAAACTGTCTCATCTAACAGAGTGTATTATCTTGAATGATTTTAGTTAAGCATGAAATCTTTGTCTTCAGGGTGTGTCCCTGGGGTAACACAGTGTTGTTAGAAGAACCATTATAACTCCTTTCCCTGACTTGTGGTTCCTGGAATTTACTGTTGTAATTTTGCATGACTATAGTTTTTAGTATGTGACCACACCATTTAAGACATTACTATAACAAGTAGTCACTGGGGGACCAAATACAGCAAGGCAGGCAACCAGCCTTCCCACGGCCGCACTGGCTGGAATTTAACTGTGCATCTCAGCCTTTTTGCTGATGACACTGTTATTAACAGCATTGTGAATTTCCAAACCCACACTCCACTCACCCCTTGAAGATCACAGTCTTGTTCTTTGTATTCCTTGAGGCGGCAGAGGTGGGCATCTCCATCCCGCCTTAGCCCACCTGGCCCTCCCACTTCTGCCTCCCCATCTAGTAACGGCAGCTCCCACCCACAACACTGCATCTTGAGGAGCTTGGTGAGAAAGAGCAAAAGGGCTTAAAGAAAAGATCAGCATTCAAATTACAGGACAGAGAAGTAGAACCCAAGTTGTGAAGGGGAAGGGCTAGATATCACTTCATCCATGTTTCTCCCCTCTGTACCCACGCCCACACCCAGGCATGCGAGCTGCAGGCTCTCCCACAAATACGTGGCAAGCAGAGAGCAGAACAACGCATAACACTGTCCCCAGAGCTAACCTAAGTCTAAACCACGTGACCCAATTCTCCTCCCACCCAACATTTTTTTTAATTGAAGTATAGTCAGTTTATAATGTGTTAATTTCTGGTGTACAGCATCATGTGTCAGTTATACATATACACACATATATTCTTTTCATATTCTTTTTCATTAAAGATTATTACAAGATATTGCATATAAGTCCCTGTGCTATATAGTAGGACATTGTTTATCTATTTTATATATAGTAGTTAGTATCTGCAGATCCCAAACTCCCAATTTATTCCTCTGCCCACCCCTTCCAGCCCTGGTAACCATAAGTTTGTTTTCTATGTCTGTGAGTTTGTTTCTATTTTGTAAATAAATTCATCTGTTTCAGTTTTCTAGACTCCACATAGAAGTGATAACATACGGTATTTGTCTTTCTCTTTCTGGCTTTCTTCACTTGGTATGATAATATCTAGATCCATTTATGTTGCTGCAAATGGCATTGTTTCATTCTTTTTATGGCTGAGTACTATTCCATTGTGTATATACACTACAACTTCTTTATCCAGTCATCTGTCGATGGACATTTAGGATGCTTCCATGTCTTGGCTATAGTAAATAGTGCTGCTATGAACACTAAGGTGCACATATCTTTTCATATTAGAGTTTCCTCCAGATATATGCCCAGGAGTGGGATTGCTGAATCACAGGGTAAGTCTATTTTTAGTTTTTTAAGGAATCTCCAAACTGTTTTCCATAGTGGCCACCCCAAATGACATTCCCTCCTCCCTCCCATTTTAATTGCTAAGTTACAGTTTCTTCAGTTGTCGGTATCCTACTGCTTCAACTCTGGGTTTGCAGCACAAGAGGTGGACACCTTGAAAACCCTAGCATGTAGCAAAATTTCTTTTTGTGAGCATGCACGTGCACACTGTCATGCCCCCACTGTGTCTCTCACTGGAACACGAGTGAGCTCAGGGACTTACCGATCAAGCAACGCCAACAAGGTAAGGCGATCATACCAGACCTTAATCCACTTGCCAGGGAAAATGATGAACTTGTAAAACTGCTCTCGGTTAAATTTTCCTTGTGTGGAAGAACGTGACGAGTCTTCCAGATCCTGACTCAAGTGCTTTTAGATACCGAAAGGAAAAAACAGAGAATGGTTTCACATTACATGTTATTGTCATCAATAAACCTCATGCCTTAAAAAGTACCAGAAGCAGATGTTCAAATTCTGACATGTAAACCAATATAGTTCATAAATACGGGTACCCTAGAAAAGAGTAAGGATCAACAGAAGAAGTCTTCTTTACCAACACACTTCAATTCCATGATAATGTAACATTAAAATTATGCTACGCATCATATCAAAACACTACTGTTAATTAAGGGCGAGAAACTGCCTTGAAAATAATTCTTACGAAATATCAAAATTCCACAAACGACCTTAAATGCCTTTCCTTTTTGAAAGGTATGTTATTTAATGTAATCCTGAGATAAATATTTAAATTTTACTCTAAGACAAAAGATTTTCATTGACAATATGTAGCTCTTTGGTGAGGCCCAATACAAGAAAACTGAAATATTTATAGAAAAAAATCTAAACCAATACAACAGAAACAGGCGGGGGAATTTCATCCCAGATTTAAAACATTTTAACCCCAAATTCATCTCTGATTAGCTCTTCTGATCCAGTGGAGAACAATTCAATGTTGAAGAAAAATAAGCCTTCATTCATTTGTGGAACACTTAATGAGTGACTCTGAGCCCGGCATCAGGTTGGGAGTAGGAATATACGAAAGATTATGGCAGACTCTGTCCCTGGCATCCCAGTGCCGACAGGAAAACATCCCTTAGACACGGTCACGGTCTCAGATGCTGACACTGAATGCCCGCCAGAGCCAAGCTCTGCACCTGCTAACGCTGAAGCTGGATGCATCATCTGAAAAACACGTGACACAGACCTTGAAGAGCTGAAGCCAAGGGGTCCACTCAGGGAGGAACACAGAGGACGGAAAGGAGGAAGAAACACTTAAGAGGTGAAAAATCAAAACCTACCTCTTCTGACACCTGATATGATATTTAAAACATAAGGAGTTAAAGCAACCTGTTGTGATGGTTTTTCCAGAGACTACTCTTGAAATTAAATATAGTTACCTCGATTTTTCATTCTCCATGTTCGATTGCTAAATATCTCAGAAAACTGGAGATCACCTCTTTAAACACAGTGTAATAAGGACCTCGGTCACAGTCGTCTTCTGAAAACACACGGTTTTATCCTCTTGTGCTCTGGGGGCACACTTGGCACGTGCACTTAGTAAGCATCTTGTGTACAAATCAAAGCCCAAGGACTCGGAGGTACCTTAGGGTATTTTCCCCTACATTGGAGAACACTAAGTATCACACTTTTAAAAAAAATATAGTTTTATTAAATATTGAGTCAATGCAAATACATATTTTTTTAGTATGTGTAAGGTGGAAAGAAAAAGAATTCAATGAATGTGGCTGTCACCCAGGATAAGAAAAAGAGCACAAATGGAATCACAGACATTCCCTGTGGGACATTCCCAACCACTCCCCTTCCCTCCTCCTTTGGCAAGTGCCACTGTCCTGAATTTGGTGTCATCATTCTCTTTCTTTTCTTCAGTGTTTGTTATGCTTATATCCACAACTTCTATACTGTTTATTTATGTTTTTGAACCTTATAGATACAAAACCACAACATATATATAGCCTTCTGCTCCTTTCTTTTTGCTTTCTTCTTCCCTCTGCTCCACATTCTGTTCCCGAGGCTGACACATTGCCATGTTTTATAGGTGCAGCATATATTTTCATGGCTGTATAATATTCCATTACATGGATATGTCATAATTCACCTGTTCATTTTACTGTTGAATATTTAGGGACTTGGGGCTTTTTTTTCAATTTTTTTTCTTTTTTCCTTTCTTTTTTTCTTTCTTTGTTTATGCTATTCTGCTGCTATGAATGTTCTTGAACATGTCTCCTGGTACATCTGCATAAAAAAGTTCTTTAGAATATACACCTGGGAATGGAACTCCTAGGAATGCAAATGTTCAACTATACCAGATGTTCAACTTTACTGAAAAAAAAACTGTTTGACTTTTCCAGGAAATGCACAAATTTACCAGACATGAAATTACTGGGTGTGGAAATGTTCAATTTACTAGACAATACTTCAGTGCTATGGGTTTACACACCCCCAACAGCACACACATGCTGCATCGCTCCACATCCTCACCAACATCTGAGAGCATCAGGCAATTTTTAATTGTTGCTAATCTGGTAAGAATAAAGTGATATTTCTTGTTTATTCTAATTTGCATTTCCCTCACTATTAATGAATCGAGCATTTTGTTTGCTTTTAGTTTTTCTTCCTGAAATCATTTGCCCCTTTCTCTATTGGCCTGCTGCTTTGTCTTTCATTAGTTTGTACATGGGTACATGTGTATATATGTACACATGTGTATGCATGGAGGCATACTGTGTGTGTACCTGTGTGCCTTTGTATATATACATACATGTATGATCAAGACCTTTATTAAAGGATATATGTTACAGATATGTTCCCAATTTATGACTTGGTTTTTTACTTTCTTTACAGCATTATTGATAAATACATGTTCTTTTTTTATTGAAGTATAGTAAATTTACAATGTTGTGTCAATTTCTGGTGTACAGCACAATGCTTCAGTCATACATGTATATACATATATTCGTTTTCATATTCCTTTTCATTATAGGTGACTACAAGGTATTGAATATAGTTGATAAATACAAGTTCTTAATTTAAGTGAAATATAATGTATCCAACTTTTCCTACCAAGTGCAAAAGCTTTGCACTTTCTATACCTTGTTTACTAAATCCTTTCTCCCCCAAGGCTGCAAAGATATTTGATTATATCACCTTTCTTAAAGTTGTATAGTTTGGCCTTTCACATTTAAGTTGCTGGTCGACCAGGAATAAATTTTTGTGTATAATGTGAAATAGGGTACATTTCCTTTACCATAAAGAAAACCGTTGCCCCAGTGCCTTTAATTAAAATGTTCATCCTTTTCTTGCTGGTTTACCAGCATCCCACTGCCTAAGTCTGTGTTATCTCAGCCTTTAAATTTTTAATATTTTTCCCATCCCATTCTTCCCTTCATCTTCTTCTGGGATTCTGACCAAGGAGGATGACAGCCCTTCTGACGATGTCCTCCTCACTCTATAACCTCCTGTTCTGTTTCCCTCTGTGTCTCTCTGTGCTACATCGAAATTATTTCTCCAGATCTAACTTTCACTTTACCAGTTCTCTGCTCCTAAGTGTCAGATTTCCTGTCAAATCCTCCATGAGTTTGCTTTCATTATCACATTTCTCATTTCTCGTATTTGGTGCTTCTCCAGATCTTCTTGGTGATTATATAGCCTTTTGCATCTTACTTATATTTCAATCTCTTCCTTTACTCCTTTCGATGTATTAGACGTACCTACTCTCTATTCTGAATCTGATCATTACAATTCCTAAATTCACTGAGAGTCTGTTTCTGCTTTCTGGTGACGTTCCTGGCTCTTATTCACAGCAGTCAGTTTTGTAGTATATTTTATAACTTTTCACTTAGACATATTTTCCTTGTCTCTTTACTAGCATGCATTCTTTGAGAGTGGTATTAAAGCTCTGTTCTTCCAGACTGAAATTTACCTTTGTTTCTGCTAGGTGCTTGGAGGCACTACCACCCAAGGACCACTTCAGAATAAATTCTCTGAGCTGTTTGAACCGTCCATGTAGCGTGAATAAGGGCTGCAAACTGGATGCTATCTTGTGGTTACAAAGTCTTCAGAGAGATTTCTGTCCCCTTAGTCAGCACCAAGGTTTGAGACAGGCAGCTTTCCAGGCAGCTCCCTTGTGGAGGTACTGATGAGAGTGTGTTTATTTAATCCTAACAAGTGGGGTGCAGCTTGTTGGGGCCCCAGATTAAGAGGAGAGGTTCCTGTTAGATTTTGTTGTGCTTTGTCTCCAGTTCTCAGTGCACAGAGACAGTTAAATCCAAATCCCCCATTCACCTCCTCCTTCACTGTTGGGCCATTCATTGCTCATCCTCTCTGTCAGTCAGCCTTCTAGAGATGCCCAGCCTCCTCTGTATCGTCTAATTATAATCTGTCTTTTTACAACTGTGGTTTAAAAAAACACAGTGTAAAACTGACCATCGTAACTCTTTTTAAGTGTACATTTCACTGGTGTTAACGACATTCATATTGTTGTGCAACAGATCGCCAGAACTCTTTCATCCTGCAAAACTGAAACTCGGTCTGCATAGAACACTAACCCCCTATTCTCTCCTCCCCTAGCCCCTGGCCACCACCATTCTACCTTGTCTTCAGGAATTTGCCTACTTTAGGTACCGCGTATAAGTGGACTCTTACAGTATTTGTTCTTGACTGCCTTATTTCATGCAGCATCATGTCTTCAAGGTTCATCTGTGTAGCCTGTGTCAGAATTTCCTTCCTTTTTAAGGATGAGTAAAGTTCCATTGTGTGGATACACGCCACATTTCATTTATTCATTCACCTGTTGATAGACATTTGGATCGCTTCCACTTCCTGGTGGAATATTCACTATTCCAACAGTGAAGAATGCTGCTGTGAACAAGCACATGCAAATATCTGAGTCCTTGCTTTAGGCTCTTTCAGACGTGTGCCTAAAAGTGGACTTGGTGGATGATTCAAGTCCGTGTTTTTATTTGTTTGCACTTGCCTGAATTTTTCCAAAATGGATTTGAGGTAGGCTCTCATTTCCTGTAGGCTAATGAACATAAAACACGGGAGACTGATAAGAAGGACCAAGACAAGAAAAGGCAGGAGGGCAGAAAGGAAGAGCAGCCGTGGAGGTGGTGTGGTCTTTTAAAGGTCTCCCTCCCAGACGGCTCTTTGACTTATTGAGCAAGAGGGTATCCTTGGAGAGTCTACATTTTTTTTTTATCTTAATTCAGTGAAAGTCACGGATGTCAAAATGCCTGGCACACATCAGGACAGCACACTTGCTTCACTGGAGACCACTGAGAGATTTCACCATTTCTCTGTTCCCAGATGCTAATTCACTGACTCAGCTCTGCAGCATGGAGTCAGACTAT